AACATATGGTATTGAAACTATAGTGTTCGTGCTGGAGAAACTAAACAGTCATGTGGAAGTCCTGCGTAGCATTCTCAATAAGTTGTCTCTTTAATTCTATCGAATTAAAAGTATCCTGAAATTCAACAGTAGGAATGCTCACTCAGGTAGAAGGCAAAAGTCTGAAGTCTGTGACTCCCAATACCTGGATTTCGAAAAATAGGAAGGAAGGAAGGAAGGAAGGAAGGAAGGAAGGAAGAAAGGAAAGAAAGAAGATAATGAAAAGACCGACAATTATAGTAATATTAATAATAGGTAATGCCTTACTACTTACTTGGTTCTCTCTCTCTCTCTCTCTCTCTCTCTCTCTCTCTCTCTCTCTCTCTCTCTCTCTCTCATGTATACACTGTTTTACCTGCATATATGCCTGTATGCCAGAAGAGGGCACCAGATCTCATCATAGGTAGTTGTGAGCCGCCACCATGTGGTTTCTGGGAATTGAACTCAGATCCTCTGGAAGAGCAGCCAGGGCTCTTAATGCCTGAGCCATCTCTCCAGCCCTTGCTTGGTTCTCTTTTCTCCTTGTTATTCATTCCCTACCCCCATAAATTCACTCTGAGCCCGTCTTCATTCATCAGTGCATCTGACTGTTTTCAGGTTCCCCAGTGGGGCCTCTTCTCCACTCCTGGCCTCTGATCTCTCCTTTCCCATTCTGCACTTCTTCCTACCCTTCCCCTGGCATTCAAAGACCTAAAACACTTCGTCACCCAGGAATCCCCAGGCTGTGTTTAGCTTGGCTTATGACATCTCCACCAAGGACAAACCCAAGAGCGTGAGAGATAAAATCAAATGTCTGGTCTTCCTTAGAACACAGGTGCCTGTGATCAGGGTTGCTGGGGCTGGGGCTCTGGGCCCTTAGCACAGTGTAACAGACGTGTTCCCCTACTGGGTGCTGTGTTACTACAGAAGAAGGAAACTGCAGACAGTACACATGGAAGGCTGTGAGAGGGTGAGCCTCAGTGACTAGAACCCTACCCACCCCCCCACCCCCCTACCACCAAAGAAACTGTGGGAGGCAGTAATGAAGTTTTTCTCCACTGGACTATTTTAGGAAGTCTAAGATTCATTTCATTCTTCAGCAATGTAAGAGTTAAATCATCATAACTTATGACCCCAAATAACCCAACAGGCCCAGGCAGGTCATTTCAGTAAGATGGAGAGTCCCATTCCAAGTCTAAAGGGGTCAGCATGGCTGAAGCCAGTGGTTGGTAAGTGAGAATCTCTGGCAAAGGGAAACTAGAAGTACACACAGTTTCATGTAAACATTTCCATTTCTAAAATCATACTTTTTTTTAATCACATCTAATTAATATTACCTATTCGGTTAAAGCCTACCAGCTACTAACTTGTGACTCAAGGACCAGATATTCATTTGTTCACAATTCTTCCCCATACTCACTTCTTAACTTCTTAAATCAATAATAAGAAAAGATGTCTCTGAAATTTGTGTAGCTATTTTTGGTTTCCTTCCTGTTACTTTGGGATGTGACAGTGTATTTTAAAGTGTATTTATCCAACATACATCAACATTAGTCAATCCCTCCCACCCCACCCCTCTGTCAGCCTTACACTAAGGCTTCAAGGAAGTGAAGTATAACCCCCACCCCATAAAAGATCGAGGACATTGTCCTAATTTCCCTGGTTAACTTGCTTTGTAAAGACACACTATGGCTTTTTTTGGGGGGGGCAGGTTGGGGAGGTTTTCGAAACAGAGATTCCCTGTGTAGCCCTGTCTGTCTTGCAACTCCATCTGTAGACCAGGCTGGCCTAGAACTTAAGAGATCCACCTGCCTCTGCCTCCTGAGAGCTGGGATTAAAGGCATGTGCCACCACTACCCAGCTCTCACTCTGGCATTTAAGAAGATGAATTCCAAAGTTGCTTGAATTGCTACTGCTCACTTTTCAGGGCTAGTATCATCTTGATATCACAACTTATGAAAGACAATCAGGCTATCTTTATGTAGCTCAGGTTGCCTCAAACTCTCTATCCCCATGCCCCCACACCCCAAATGCTGAGATTACAGTCATGTGCCATCATATTCAGTATAAATTTTAATCTTAAACAAAGGATAGATTAAATTAAGAAAGTCTTATAAAACTAACACACTATGACAAGTAGAGTTTATTTCAGGAATGTGAGGATGGACTAGAGATTAGTAAATCTATTTATTCAAGTCATTCATTATATTGATGATCCAGATTCAAACAGATATAACAATGAAATGAAGAAACAATTGATAACATTTAATGCCCTTTCCTGTAGTAAACTAGGGATAAAAAGAAACTGATTTTAGAAATGATAGTGTATTTAGAATATTGAGCATCAGCTAGGGACCTGTTCTTGTTTCATTACATTAAAGCTGAATGACTATTATCTATAATCTATATAATAACTATTATCCTATAATCTCTGAAAATTTTCTGAGGTTTTAGAATATTATCTTATTTGTAAATGACATTGTTGTATGTATAAAATTCACAGATTGGCTGATAAATTACAGAACTAATAAGACATTTTCAAGGTGGTATGACAGATGGTTAAATCCACAAAAATCAACAGCTTTCCTAAATTATAGCAATGATAACTATTACACTTGAAAAAAGTTATAAAATATCCAAAACAAACACATAAGAATTGTGCAAATTTCTGTAAAAATATCTTAAATGTATTTAAAGATATCATAGAGTTAGGAGCTAGAGGTATAACTGAGTGGCAGAATAAGTGTCTGGCTTCTGGGTTCAATACTCAGACCTCCTCCCACCAATACATAACCTAAATACTGGAAGAAGTGTGTTCTGAATGAGAATTCATTATTTTGGAAAAAATTTAAAAGAAAATTAGAAGACATTTCTTATGAAAGAGCAAGTACATCAGGAATCTACATATTATAATATCATGGCATAGCACAGGAATAAGCAGATGGCTAGCAGACAGATAAGAATGTTCAGAAATATATTTATATATGCATATGCATTCAAATTTAACTTCAAAGCAGTGAGTAAAGAACAGATTATGCTATGCAGTAAATATTTGGACAACTGGTTAACCATTTGGCAACATTTTCTGTTAATTAATTTCTTTCTTTTTTTCTTTCTTTTTTTTTTTTTTCTTGAGACAGGGTTTCTCTGTGTAGTTTTGGTGCCTGTCTTGGATCTTGCTCTGTAGACCAGGCTGACCTCAAACTCACAGAGATCTGCCTGGTTCTGCCTCCCAAGTGCTGGGATTAAAGGCGTGCGCCATCACCGCCCAGCTTTAATTTCTTATTGAATAGTTTCATTTCTAAGAATCAGTTCCAAAGAGGTTAATGGATAAATGCCTGAACAAAAATAATGATCATAGCAACTTTTGGGAACATGAAAACCTTGTATACACGTAAATGATGGAACACCATCAGTCTACTTTAATGAAATAGATTCATGCCTATGGGAATGGAAGGATATCATATTAAAATGTAAAGAATCAAGTTCTAAATCTGTGGGTATTCTTTGACCTATTTCTGAAAATGTGTGAAGAAAAATCTTTTCTCTTACTATTTCTTTGCCTTTAAGAATATTCAGCTGTCCTTGAACACACTGGCACAGGAGACAACTTGCTGAATAGAACACCAATAGCACAGACACTGAGATTGACAATTCATAAATGGGACCTCATGAAACTGAAAAGCTTCTGTAAGGCAAAGGACACTGTCAACAGGACAAAATGGCAGCCCACAGAAGGTGAAAAGATCTTTACCAACCCCACATCTGACAGAGGTTTGATCTCCAAAATATGTAAAGAACTCAAGAAACTAGACAGGGCTGAAGACATGGCTCAGAGGTTAAGAGCACTGGCTGCTCCTACAGAGGTCCTGAGTTCAGTTTCCAGTAACCACATGGTGGCTCAGAATCATCTATAAGATCTGGTGCCCTCTTCTGGCATACCGATGTACATACAGATAGAGCACTCATACATAAAATATATAAATAAGTCTTTCTAAGAAACTAGACATCAAAAAACTAAATAATCCAATTAAAAATGGACTACAGATCTAAACAGAGAATTTTCAACAGAAGAATCTCAATTGGCCGAGATAAACTTAAAGAATCCTTAGCCATCAGGTAAATGCAAATCAAAATGACTCTGAGATACCATCTTACACCTGTCAGAATGGCTAAGACCCAAAACACTAATGACAGCCTATGTTGGAGAGGATGTGGAGCAAGAGGAACACTCCTTCACTGATGGCAAACTTGTACAGCCACTTTGGAAATCAATATGGCAATTTCTCAGAAAATTGGGAATCAATCTACCTCAAGACCCAGCTATACCACTCTTGGGCATATACCCAAAGGAAGCTCAATCATACCACAAGAACACTTGCTCAGCTATGTTCATAGCAGTATTATCCATAATAGCCAGAATCTGGAAACAACCTAGATGCCCCTCAACTGAAGAATGAATAAAGAAAATATGGTATATTTACACAATGGAGTATTACTCAGCTGTTAAAAACAATGACATCAGGAAATTTGAAGGCAAATGGATGGGACTAGAAAAAAATCATCCTGAGTGAGGTAACCCAGACCCAGAAAGACAAACATGGTATATACTCACTTATAAGTGGATACTATCTGTTAAGTAAAGGATAACCAGGCTACAATCCACAGGCCCAGAGATTAGGTAACAAGGAGGGCCCAAAGGGGGACACATGGATCACCCCGGGAAGGGGAGACAGAAGAGATCTTCTGGGTAGACTAGGGGCAGGAGGGGATAGGAACATGAGGGATCGGGTTGAGGGATGGGTGGAGGGGGAGAGTAATTAAAGAAATGACTTGATGGGGGCAGGGCATTCAGGGTCAGGTAGAAACCTGATGCAAGGGACATTCCCATGAATCTACAAGAATGACCCCAGTTAAGACTCCTAGCAATAGTGGATAGGTAGCCTGAACTGGCCATCTCCTGTAATCAGATTGGTAACTACCCCAATTGTTATCGGAGAGCCTTCGTCCAGTTACTGATGGAACAGATGCAGAGATCCACAGCCAAGCACTGGGCCAAGTCCCGGGAATCCTGTTAAGGAGAAAGGAGGAAGAATTTAGGAGCCAGGGGTCAGGGTCATCACAAGGGAACCCACAGAAGCAACTGGCCTGCTCATGGGAGCTCACAGACTATGGCCTAATGGCTAGAGAGCCTGCATGGGACTGCCTAGGCCCTCTGCTTTACGTGTGGTTTGGTCTATTTGTGGGACTTCCGGCAGGGGGAGCAGGTCCTGTCTCTAATGCTTTGGCCGGCTTTTGGGAACCTGTTCCTAATACTGGGTTGCCTTGCTCAGCCTTAATACAAGGAGAGGAACTTAGTCCTATCCCAACTTGATAGGCCATGCTTTGTTGGCACCCATGGGAGGCCTGCCCCTTTCTGAACAGAGGTAGGGGGGGGTGGATTGGGAACAAGGGGCAGAGGGAGATGGGGAGAGGGAATGGGAGGAGGAAGGAGGAGAAGCCGCAGTTGGATGTAAAATAAATGAAAAAATTTAATTAATAAAAAATGTAAGCAATTAACACCGCCCCCTCCCAAAAAATTTTGGGTGTCTTAGCTCTTTTTACCCAGGTAACATCAGTGCGTGTACCCACTTGTGGCCTTGGCCTTCAAGGCACTAGGTAAATGTGCTCAGAGACCTCTGTACTCGCCATGCTGTCTATAATTTCATGTTATACCTTCTTGCATTTCCAAATTACTTTTTGCTTTCTTCTCTCGTTTCTAAAATCCATTAGGGCAGGGACAATATATGGGTTCACTCCCAAGCCCAGCGACACCTGGCCAATAACTCACTTTTTTCCCTACACTGCAAACACGGAAGTACTTGATGTCAGTCAGCTTGCTACACCCTTAGGTTGAACTATCACCTCCACTTTGAGGGAGAAGGAGACAAAGAGGTTTGAAGCTTGACCCAAATGCCATTGGTCGAGCTGAGCTTCTCAGGCCTAGTACTGGGCCACCACACTCAGTATAAGGTGATCGTAATAAACCCCGGTTCTAGAGGGAAGAACAACAACCCGCCAAGCTTGAGGATCACAACGCGGGGGAGGATGGCTGGATTTAAACTCCTTTACAACCGAGGTAAAAGCCCCGCCCGCGACGACCTGTGCAGAAATTCCGGAGGGCGCCACAGGGGCGGAGCTATCTTTTGTGGTGGGCGGGACCACCTCTGATTGGCTATCTCTAGGCGGAAGTCCGGAGGCTCGATGGTCCGAAGACGCCAGCTTGTGACGGGGAGGGGGAGGAGGAAGGCTTCCGTAAAGGGTGCCTTTCGGTCCCTTAGCTCCCGGGGACCCTCGGAAAAAGGCCACCATACCGACCCCGCGGCTAACCCCTCCCTCAGGCTCTCTCCGCTCGATTTCGCACCGTTATGTGGGAAGCGAATCCGGTGAGTAGCCGGCGGGACGGGGCGGGCCCAGTGGGCGGGGTTGCCTGAGAAGGGCGGGAGGCGTTCCCGGGAACTCGCCCCCGCGGTGCCTCGGGCTCGAGGTTTGCGTTCCGGGTCGCGGGTGTCCTGGGCCTCGGGCCTCCCGCGGGTCGCGGTCCCGTGGCTTTGAGCCGTGGGAACGTTCGGTGGCCGCTTCCGCGCTTTTGCTTTACCCTTCTCGATTGTTGATTTTACTTCCGGGGGCTTCTCCGTCTTGGCTTTTTCCTTTATTTAATTTTTTGTGTTTTGTGTTTTGCTTTCTAATTGGAATTACTGGCTTTCGAACCTGCTAATGTCTTTCGCCCCCTTACCCTCATTGCTCCTTCCCGGTTTTTGAAGCTACAGAGGTTTTAGTCTCCTCTTTATGTACTGAGTCTCAGAGGATGACGTTCTAGGATGTTTTCTTTCCGTTGTTAGAACAATGATCTGGAATTTTTCTTGGTTTTCCTTCAGTAGTTCCTATGTCTGCAGGCATTTTTTGCTACTTTGCTTTCATTCATTCATTCATTCATTCATTCATTCATTCATTCATTCATTCAAACAAACAAACTCCAGCCCGCCACGAATGAGGAGTGAGATCTGTTTGTCAAGAATACTCAGCCCTTGTTATGGGAATATAGTAGTGAGAAAAAAATGTACACTCAAGTAAGAGCGTAGGAGTTGACCGGCAGAATCGCATTTCAAGAAATCTGTGGACTTACTATGTAAAACCTCAGAGGCTGAGCTAACCATTAAGTTGACTTTACTTGAAATAACCCTTTTGCTATAACCAGTAACTCCTCTCTTCCCGCTTCTGGAATGTATTTCCGGTTAAGTTTATCAGAAAATTCCCCGATGTTTTAAAGTTCGTACCCAGAAGAAATGACCCCATTGATTGGAATTCGGGTGCACATGTGGTTCCATTCCATTGCATCATGACAGTCATCAGATATTTTTGATTCATACATTATAATATTGCAATCAGTTCGAGTCAGAGGAAGGTACTTGTTTGGATATGATTTTAGCAAAACGGTTAGCATTGGGATGGCTTATAGATGTTCATACACACTTTCACTGTTAACTATCACGTATCTTCATTCTATATCTGTATCTCTGTACATGTATACATGGATATGGAGTCGGTTTTTATTAGTAGTCCCTTCCTATTGATTTCCCACAGACGCCCATTGCCAGGGTATAAATTGTGTTCAAGGTCACATACTATAAATTCTCTGAATTGTCTCTATGTGAACGTGGTATGTTTACAGTAGTATATTCAACTAGAATATAGTTATCCTGTTGCATAATAAATCCTTGTTGAATTCTTGACAGTAACTGGCTCAGTAATGCACTAAGAGGTCTCTGCTCACCCTGTTCATTTTTCCCTCATGATCACACTTACATTTGTACTATCGGGCCGGTTATACTTTGATGAGAGTTACAAAGGATCTAGTGAGTGACTCATGTATTTGGTTTATGTCACTATTTCTTTGTAAAAAAAAAAAAAAAGGCCCAGTTTTCTGTGCAGTCATATGTAAGACTTTTCTTAAGTTTTGTTAAGCAAGCTGACTTTTGTTAATTATAATGAACATACAGCCTTGGATTCTTTTTTTTTTTTTGATTCTTTTTTTTTTTTTTTTTTTTGGCTCTCTGTCATTCTCACATGGCTGAGTGCTATTGTGTTTTATTACCTGCTGGTACTGTTTTCTTTTTCTTTTCTCTTTTTTTTTTCTTTTCCTGTGAGCGCCTGAATGTTGTCAACAAGCACAGCTTAGTTTTCAAAAAATTATTTTATTATATGCGTATGAGTGTTTTGACTTCATAAATGTTTGTGCACCACGTTCAGTCAGTGCCCCCCAGAAGAGGGTATTGGATCCCCTGGAACTGGAGTTAGCTGCCATGTGGGTGCTGGGAATTAAACCGTGGTCCTCTAGAAGAGCAGCCAGTGTCTTAACCCTGGAGTCATTTCTCCAGCCCCCACAGCTTAGTTTTTATTTTATTTCATTTTTATTTTATGTCAACTTTGCATTTATGGGTTTCACCAATAATCTGTGAGTTTCTTTTGACAGAAGGGGCTTCTGGAAAGCTTGTTTAGCTTTTCCAGGGAATAAAATTGTCACTCTAAGCCATGTACATCTGGAAAGATTTAAAATCCAAACAGAAAAGTAAAGCAAACCCCTAACCACAGTGTACTATAAATATCAGTGCAGATAATATTTGCATTCCTGGCCAAATTCTTTTTGTAATGAGGGGAGGTTTTGTTAAATGATGGTTAATTGATTTTATCTAGTTTCCCTTGTAGTTTTGATAGTCTCCATGGCCTTAAGGTACAACCTGGGACCTGAAAATGATACCTCTTTTTACTCCTATGATAAAATAGCTACTATGTGAAAATTGTTTCACAATTGTTTCACAAATGTTTCGAGGGCATCTTAACACTGACCCTGGTGTAGACTCAGCTCCTGTCCGCTATGTTTAAAGTCTCCAGGAAGAGGTTAGAACATGGAAAATTACTGCAGATTTTACAATATTTCCTAGGTACCAAAGGTGACAACCCAAATTGAGATACCCAAGGAGGCATAAAGAAGTCTTATCCCATTTCACTGTTTTACTTTTGAATCCAAACATAATGTCTGTATTGTTTTGTTTAGCCAAGCCTTCTGCCTAAGCGAGTCAGGTTGACGGGTGGCAGGCAGTTCTGTGAGTTCTTGGTATCTCTCCATCTGTTGTCCCAGGAGAGACTCTGGGACATTTTCTCACTTACGAAAATGGCAGCCTCTAGGAAAAGTTAGAGGGTTACTGTCCCTGCTTTGACTCTGAACCCTGATTTTATCCTTCCTTTCTAGGCTGTTTGTCTGTGTCTTCTCTCTTTGCTAGGAATGGATTAAATATTTCCCTGGAATTGTTAGACAGGAGTAGGCTTTAGGTCTTCTCTGTCACAGATGAAGAGACTGAAAAGTAATAGACATTTGTTTAAGAGTTGTCTTAGTTAAGGTTCTATTGCAGTGAAGAGACAACATGACCACAGCAACTCTTTAAAGGAAAGCATGTCATTGGGGCTGGCTTTACAGAGGTTTAGTCCATTTAGTCCATGGAGGAAAGTATGGTGGCGCACAGACAGACATGGTACTAGAGAAGGAGAGTTCTACATCCAGATCAGCAGGCAGCAGGAAGAGAGAGACACACTGGGTCTGGCTTGAGCATCTGAAACCTATAGTCCACCCCCAGTGACACATTTCCTCCAACAAAGCCCTATCTACTCCAACAAGGTCACACATCCTAATAGTATTACTCCCTATGAGCCTATGGAGCCATTTTCATTCAAACTACCACAGGGTACACACTGTTTATTACACTGACAATGTCGTTATAGAAATTGTTAAATTCTTCCAAAAGCCATTTCTGTTTATTGACTCATATTGTTAGGATAATCTGACTTAGCTAAGGGACAGGAGAACGGTTTCCCCGAGATCACACACCACAGTTGTCTTCATAACCAAGCCCTCTTTCCGCTCCATTTTGATCGCTGGTGCAGTGATGATTTTCAGATGTTGGTCCCTGCTTTGTCTGCACAACCACCTTTTTCACTGTTATTTTATATTCACAACTGTTTCTTGCTTCCTTGGAGCTGTCAGTTTGTCTCTCTCATTCTTTCAGACTGCTGTCATTCTTAGCCATAGTCCACTCCTGCAGACTGGCTTCTGCCAACAATACTTTCCAGGTAGTCTCCAAGAATCTTTGGATCACCACATACAGTATCTTAGGTACCTTTGGCTGATTCTGTTTTTCAGCAACGTGGATGCCAATTACAGAGTTCCCCTCAAACCTTCTTTTTCATTGTTCCTGGAACTGTACACTCACTAGATTTCTTCTCTTTCCCCTTTTTATTTTGATTTCATTTTGTTTGTTTGTTTGTTTTTCCAGATAGGGTTTCTCTGTGTAGTTTTGGTGCCTGCCCTGGATCTCGCTCTGTAGACCAGGCTGGCCTGGAACTCACAGAGATCCGCCTGGCTCTGCCTCCCCAATGCTGGGATTAAAGGCGTGCACCACCACCACCACCACCACCACCACCACCACCACCACCACCGCCCGACTTTATTTTGATTTCATTTTATTTATTTGTTTATTTATTTATTGTGTGTGTGCATGGACACACCATAGCACAATAAAATGTCAGAAGACAGCTTGTGGGATCATTTCTCTCCCTCCACCATGTGTGTGACTTCCGGGGACTGAACTCAGGTTGTCAGGCTGGATAGCAAGTGCTTCTGCTGGCTGAGTCATCCTGCCCTTTTCTGAGGTTTGCTTTCAGTTACAGTTTTGAACTTAGCTGCACGGCCTCTTGAAACATCCCACCTTTGAGTTTTTTTTCCTTCAGCACAGTCCTTTCTTAGTAAGCTCCAAGGCTGTCCTTTGAACATACCTGCTAAGGGTCATCTTTAGTCTTGACTCCTCTCACTGCTTGTCCCTTTGGTGAAACTAAACCCTTGGTCATTAGTTCATTTCACTCAGCAAGTCATCAGGAAATGTTTTCTACTTACTAAATCAACATGATTCTGATACTTGAAGAGGGGAGTGCAAACATGAACTGAATCAGAGCCTGCCTGCCCATGAGGACACTCACCATATGCAGTGTGACTTGTGGTAAGAAAGTGGTATCTG